GCACTTGTGAAGGAGCAGCTAACTGCTTAACTGATGAGTCATTAGGTCACCTGCTGTTTCCCCTTAGGCTATGGGTAGGGACCTACCAAAATCATGATTTCGCCCGTGTTGTGGAAAATACAAAATCTGAAATCTGTGGCAAAAAAAAGAAAGAAAAAGAAAACTTACTGAAAATAAAATGCTGGCTGCAATCCAGCTGTGCAGCCTACAGAGTGGGGGAGGGGGGAAGGGGGAAGCTGCCAGCACACAGGGGAGCCCAAGACAGCTGCCACATATGCCACTCACCACTAACTGGTTGAGAGGGCAGCCTGACCACTCTCCTCTAACCAGTAGTGAGGGGCAGGGCTGCATGACGGACAGCCTTCGCAACCAATAAGTGATGAGGGGTGGAACCATATGACAGACAGCCCACACAGCCAATCAGCGGCAAGGGGCGGTGCCATCATGCTTGGGGGGTCCCTTGGCCAGAGGCATGGGGGGGCCCCCCAAGCATGATGAGCCCTTGAAATCTGCCTGCAAAATCAGTTGGCTGCCTCCTTGAGGCAGCCCTAGCTTTGGGTACTAGTCCCCTTCACCACTTTCCCTGCACCACCTTCTGGTTCCCATCCTCTCCCTTCCCTGCCAGACTGTGCCCACCCTGAGCTAAACAATAACCAGTAAGATAGCCAATTATCAACTGACTTACTGGTTAAACAATTAATCGTTTAACCTTTCACACCCCTAGGAGAAAGTTTGCTGCCTAATGATTTGCTTTCTGGTAATGACCTTGCCTCTAATTAGACACATGGGCTGCCTGCAGATGTTAAAAAGAACAAACAAACCACACTTTATCAGAAGCAGCAGCATGTTACTTCGATTTGGCTCTGCAGCATATGTATAGATCAGACAGCTTCAATGGGGCTTTTTGGCAGCTGTAGCTAAAGCTGATGGAATCAGCTTTTGCTAAAAGCACCGAAAAGCCTGCTGAAGCACCCAGTCTTTACAGACGCCAGGCAAGCCAGGTCCAAATAAGGCTCTGCCTCTTCTGAACATGTGCTGGGCTCAGTGTGGGAATGCAATGAGCTTAAAGTGCCATAGCCATGGAGTCTCCTCCTCTTTCTGAAAATACCACAGGCTACTCAAACTTGCCCAGGGGACTCATATCCACCCCCCAACCTTATATTCTGGCTCCAAATGAGCAGTCTCTAAGCTGACCTGGAATGCTCAGTTCTTATACTTTATTCAGTGATATTAACATGATTCCCCACTGCCCTGAACTTTATGTAAGCCATTATACCAGTACAAAGCAAGTGCAACAGTACTTCCCTGATCTGGTAGCATTTTATATTTTGCTATAGAAAAAGGAAATAACTACAGTGTGCCAAGTAGTAGAGAATCAGGGTCTTTCTATTCAGAAGTAGCCTGAAGAGTGCAAGAATTTCTCAGGCCAAGAGACTTGAGGGACAAAATCATTCCTAGGAAGAAAATAATTGGTTTCAAAATTCTGTATCCTGCCCACTCCACACACATTTGGAATACTGCAAGTAATAAGGGAAAGTAGTAGGATGGGAGACGAGAAAAATGAACAAAGTTTGCCTTTTCTGTAAAGTAGCATAAACAAAATTATTTTGGGGACCATACTATGCAGCATCTTCTTGCTACAAGACATTTCTGAAATAGTTGTAGTTTTAGTGTTTTATAAAGCAGTTAACAAGAAATAGGCAGATTCACAGATTTTCTTTGTGCTGAACAATTAACTGTCTACCACACTGCCATAACTGAGCTGATCCCTTCCATAATGGTTTATTCTCAGCTATATAGACTTGACAATACAGGGCTTCATGCTGTTGGCTATGAATGTTTTAGAAACTGTTAAACCCAGACATTTTGGGTAAGAAGAAATGGAAAAGACATGCAGTTCCTTGAACTGATCATGTTTTCAAGATACATTTTAACCATTATTTTCACATGAATCATATGTTCCAGGATGTTTCAAGTGTGCAAGCATTAGTAAAAATAATTACTTGTAACATATGGAAGGATGTATTAAACTTTAGAATAACTCTGGACTATAAACAGATTCACAGATTCTGATTCATAAACAGCAATATTTTCTGATACAAGAAGTAGTAAGGCTCACCAGGATGAATGTTTTAATGGAAAAGAAATATAGGGAAGTAGATACCAACTGTCTGAATGAACTGGTCAAAATCCCAGGTAGGAAATATAAGACTTGGGTTGAGACAAGATTGTTGCTATTATGAATCTGGATACCACAAGGTATGGGTATGTCCAAGTTTAAAACAATTGGTTCTAGCACAAAAACATGCAACAATGGTAGATAGATACTGCTTTCAAGTCTGGGCCACCCTGTAAGAAACTGAGGGAGTGGGAAGGCCTGGATTCCCCAGGCTGATCTTTTCTATCTTAGTACCAGTAAGACTATTTTGTCCAAAGTTCAAGCCAAGAAGGCTTTTGTGTGAATACAAGAACATTCACATTACACTGGAAAGGGTGTCCCTGCCATTTCAATTATTGAGCAACATGCCCTAAGCTTTTAAACTCAGATAACCCAAAATATGATGCAGAGGCAGGTACTAGGCCTGTAAGAAGTGGCTAGCATTCGTTTCAGCTTTGGATTTGGCTGATTCCAGGGACAGTGATTCAAATCACTGATCCAAATTGATTTGGCCAAATCTGATTCGGCAGCAGCAGCGGAATCTCCAGATCACACAGGCCCCATCTCCCATTCACTCTCCCAGCCCCAGCAGTGCCTGCTCCAGCTCCTGGCACTTTGAAGGAAAAAAAAAGCCCTAACTCACCAGATGCTGCCAGGTGGGGAGGATCCTTCCTTCCCGCACTGTCCCCCACTGCATGGGGGGCTCTGTCATGAGCCCCTCAGTGTCCCAGCCCCACCAATGGATGCCCTGCCGGCCCCAACTCTGGCCCTTTAAGGAATAAAAACTAAACAAAACTCAGACTCACCAGTTCCTGCTCAGCAGGGGGCAAACCCCATTGCCCA